TGACAAGATGCTCCAAGACCAAAGGAAGTGCCATTCCCATTCAGCTCCAGAGTATTGCAATCTTTCTAATTAAGTTTTGGTTACACTAGTTCACAATGAAATAGATTTCATACCTAATTAATACAGACATTTGAAATTTTTCAGGTCAGCCTATGTGCAATTAAATAATCATTCTAGCACCTGCAGTGCTATGCAGAGATCAGCTCTCTTGTAAAATTTGCAATTTGAAAAAGCTCTTTTCCACCCTTTCATAGAAGTAGGCTAGTATTAGCAAACGCAGGCAATTTTTGAGCCCTTGTAGCTGAGTTACACAGACGATTTACCCATACTGAGGAATTTATTTTGTGATTGATAGAAACATTACTGCATAGTAATAATAATAAAACGCTGTTTATAAAACAACTTGCATTACAAACAGTGCTCAAATATGCCAATATAAAATCTCTAATAGTGAATCATGGGCAAGCAACCCTGAGACGTGAAGGCAGTCGCAGAGCACCAAGCATGGCTGTTCTAAGATAAAAGGAAAAAATGTGGATTTACAGTGGCCTCTGAGGCACAGGGAATTATTAATACTGGTTCTTATGGATACACATCACCAACTTGGGCTTTTCTAAGCCTTTCCTAGCAGGAAGACTGTCAAATTTTACAATTTCGCATAGCTCCGTGTACCTTATAAATCAGCAGAAGCATCTGAATTCCATTTTAAAAACCGCACTCAAAAAACCCTCCCAAAACCAAACATGCAGGGAATATAAAGCAATAAAGATATGCAAGGGGTTTTTATTCTAGAATTCATCCATACACAAAATTCCTTTAACTTTCCTCAAGCTAGTAATTCTTAGTTCTACGTACAACTTCCCTCATGTTTTTGGGCTTGGGGTTTTTTGTTGTTTTCGTTTCTTCTTGGGGTGTCCTTTTTAATGTCAAAGGCCTGATGTTCCACAGTGTTTTAATCAAGGACACAAATTTCATTTCATTTCATTTCATTTTACTTCACTGTTCATTTAACTTAATTTCCTTGAAATTTCATTTACATTCCAGGTTTGTTCCAGCCGTGTTCCAGGTGCACGTGTGTTTGAACAAGCCTAGAAACATGTTCCAGATGGTTTCCAAATGCGTTTCAGGTTTGTTTAAGGTGTGTTGTAGTTATGTTCCAGGCATGTTTTCGTTCCAGATGTGTTTGAACACGCTTGGAAACATGTTCAGGGTATTTTCCAGATGTGTTCCAGGCATGTTCTGAGTGTGTTCCAGGTCCAGGTTTGTTTGAACACGTGTGTGTGTGTGTGTGTGTGTGTGTGTGTGTGTGTGTGTGTGTGTGTGTGTTTGCTCCAGGTGGTTTCTGGGTGTATTTCAGGTGTGTTCCAGGTACATGTGTTCCAGTGTTCCAGGTGTGCTCCAGGTACATCCCAGATGCGTTCCAGGTATAGGTGTCTGAATTTAATTTCATTTCACTGAATTTCATTTCATTGCAATTAAATTTCATTTCATTTCAATTCAGTTCATTTCTGGACATTTCATTGTTGTGGCCCTCTGCTGAACAACAGATCACAATGTTTCAGAACGAAGGCAGGACAGGATCACCATCTCCATAGTACTTTACAGGATGGATCTGCTTCAAGCCAGAGAATGAAAAGCCTGAAATCTCCATGATTTCAGCACCTCTCAGGCCAGAAGTATTGAAGTGTGTTAGAAAAGACAGAGAGGTTTCTCTCATCTGGCACACATGGATATGAGAGAAAGAGCCCTCACTTCAAATTAAACCCACTGTTGGTGTCTGTCCTCTGCTAAACACATCAGTAACATAGGTCAATTAATTATCAATCAACAAATTATGTTTGGTAAAAAAAAAAAAAAAAAAAAAAGTGGTTCACATCTGCTTTCTTCATAACAACATCAGTCACTCAGTACTGGGTATATTTATTTTGCCATATGAACAGCTGAGGTGGGTTAAAAAAATAAACCACAGTTTTGCCCACCACAGCATACTGGGGGAATTGAGGGGAATCGTGTGTTATCAGCCAGTCTCTAAATATTGGCACAGCATCTCACAACTATTTCACTTCTGCAGCTTCCACCTTTCCTGCCTCCGCCCTATCCGGAACATCATTATCAGATATCAGCCTTTTCCACTGAGAGCAAGTAAACTAATACATGCTAAGAAATTTCACCGAGAAATCATAAATCCACAAATCACTAATAAAAATAGCGGCATTGTGCATCAACCCAAACACAATCACCTAACCACCATTTTTTGCAGTTTTATGAAACCTCTGTACAACTGAACACAAGTCTGTTTGCCACTGTTCTCATATGACTTGTACCCTGTGATCATTTAGGCAAATTAAATAAACTAGTTTATTGCTTTTTTTCTAAGGAAAGATGCAGTTTGGCACACAACAGCAATATTTTGCTTTTCTTTCAGTAATGCGTTAACTGTGACAGCAACAGCACAGGAGCTGCTGCCAAAAACCCACCTGGGAGCTCTTAAGATACCTCCAAGTTTTGTTTCTTTCTTTAGATAAGGCAAAATTGCAGCTACGGAGATGGGAATCAGCAAGGTCTAAAAACAATAAAGCATCAGCAACTTTCATTTTCTAACCTCTGTTTCTCCCCTGGCTTTCAATTTATTCCATCAGCTTGGAATAAATTTCTCAGTAGCCAAGTTTCTCCACCTGTAAAATGGGTGTTTTCTGATGTGTGATTCTCTGAATCTGTGTCTGCATTCTGGAATTGTGGTGTGCTGCTTGCTCCAGATTCCAAGCAGGAAACATGTTCTTGCCCCCTAAACACCACCGAATAGTGAGGCTTAATACAGGTTCCAGCCAAAGTAGGAACTAATGTTTGTAAATGTGAGCCCAATTATGACGATGGAAGCTCTCTCTTCGATTACTTTTTCTTTTTAAAGACAGGAGGCATAAGAAATAGCTTCTCCCTTTTTGCTTTTCCGGTTCTATTTATATAATTTAATCATTAGAAGACAAGCTTCCTTGGAGTTCGGCTTTACCACCTCTTGCATTGTCAGAACGGAGGTTACTGAATAACAGGAAATGTGGTGTTAACACTGCTGTGACAGGGCTTATCTGCACCGGGGTAACTCCCCGCTCATCCACTGCTAATTAACTCAGAGTCACTTAAACCTTTGTGAATATTTCTTAAACGTCTGGTGCAGTTATTAATTTGCCTTTATTTCACTAATAACCACAAAGGGCACAGCCAGATATCCCTGTGTACACCCACCCAATGCAACTTCAAAAAGGTACGAACCCCAGTGGTTTGCAGGTGACCGTCAGCCCAGAAAGAATTTTAGTCCCCTCCTGCCCCCAGCACAGCCCGGGATATCAATCAAATCGCTTCAGTGGGAAGTACAGCAACAAACAGATGCTTCAGCTGTTCAGCACTGCCTCAAGTGCACACCCGATCCGTTCTGGAAGCTGAAAGGTTAAGGTGATGACCAAAACCTGTCAGAAATTTTTCTGTAATTTCAAAACCAACCCTTTGACTATGCTCACATAGTTTGGTGTGCTGTCTGAGCAGCCCTCAGTCCTAGAAAGAATAAGGTGACACTGGCATCTTTCATGGCAAATCAACAGAAAAAGGAAAGAATCAGCTGATTTGCACGTGATTACCATGCATATTTTTTTCTTCACCATTCTTAACTATGAGAAACTAATACCAACGGAATGAACATGGATTAGGGTACATCTCAAAAGGAAATGGTTTATACAAATGGTTACTGTGCTGCCAGCTTTACCCAAGTTTATCTGTAACAGGTTGGAGGAACTACTAAATAAAAGGGAAACAATAAACAACCTACCTAGTCCAACAAACTGCTACATTAAAATGATCAAAACCAAAGTGCCTTTGGGAACTGAAGTCTTCTGAGTAGTGTGTGTTAAGTTCATTGGAAATCACATTTCACAGAGTCACTGACCTATTGAAGAGCTGCTCTGGAGCACAGTTGTTTCACAAAGAATGTGAACCTTCAACCTGAAAACTGTCTCTGAGCCATCCAAAACCCCCCATCCACTCTGTCTCTAGTTTCAAAAAGCATCTGGAGCAGCAGTGCTGACTTTCAGGTGGAAATTTAGACCAAGTGCTGAAATATTTTCTCCAGGTGAGAAAATTTTTCTCCAGGTCAGAAAAATTCTCTCACAACTCCCATTTTGAAATCTAGGCTTGTATACTTTGTCTCATTTCATTTCTTCAAAGTCCTTTAGCTGTTTTCAGGTGTATTTCAGTAAGGCTTGTTAAAGTGCAACAAGTAGGAATCCATGAAAACAGAGAGTGCTGGTCACAAATTATCTTCTCAATCCCCGAAAGCCACTGCAGGTCACTAAAAAGTGACAATAAAAATGTTCTTCCCCATGTGCTGATATGAGAAAACGTGATGCTGCCAAGGCACCCCAGACAGGTTGCATGCACTAAAAAAATCATGAGCCAACCCTTTCTTGCCCATATATATCTGAGGTTTTAAGAACACTATTCAACAGTCACTAAGACAACTGATGCTGAGCCAGACCCAAAACATCCTCCAGGCTCAAAATCCTGTCTTTTAACACCTCATGGTCACTGCAGAGCATCTGGAAAAATAATTTCTAGCACGTATACAATGCTGGGAATGTTCCAAGCCATGGCAAAATAGAAAGACACCTATTTTTAAGAAGGGGTATTAATATTTTTGACATGCCCTGCTTTGTATCAAGTTTTTGTCGTGTTAAGCAAAGGGCCTTGCATGGTATTTATTCAACAGGCTTTTCCTTTTCTAGACCTCAAGCGTTTCAACCAGCGCACTGGAAAAAAATGCAGCTGCAAAGGCTGGTCAGTGTGTGTGGGATCACTTCAGGAACAGGAAAATAAAATCCACTGGATGGCCTCACACACTTAGAAATGGCAGGGACAAACACTACTTTTCTGTTCTAAAATATCTCAGTGCAGAGGAAAATTTGAACTTTAAAGTCACATGATGAAACCATAGGTTTGCTAAACATGCAACGTGTATGGTTTGAATGACTTCAACCAAGTTCCTGTTTCCTTTTTACAGAACTGAATGTTATTTTAGTCAGCAAGCGCCTGGATTTTTCATCGTGATGTACGGCAGCTAAAGAAGTTATTCTAATATATACACTCTGCTTTCTACAGAAATAAAAAGGGTTATAAGCTCCAAACAACAATTATATTTCATCTGGCATTTTACAGTGAAAGTCTCAGCCTGTTGTATCTGTGGAGCATTTTCTTGAAAAGGTAAGTGCTTTATATTACTTTGAATATGCAATGTTTTATTCATCACAAGAAGCTCAAATTGTGAAGCTAAGATTGTAATTTAAAGCTTTTAGTTTCCCCTTCTTTAACAACATTTGAACTACACAAAGTAAAGTACTGTATCTGGAAACATCCTCAGAAGGTTGATATGTTTAATAGAGCTGAAATTTATAATAAAGCTGGGCATTAACAAGAGAAAATGTGAAGACTGTTTTCCAGTAAGTACTTAACTCCTGTTGAACCGATGGGAGCTGGATGATGAAATACTGCCCAGTGGTCTGGACAAAAAGAGACTCCAGCCATTACCTAAAGCCAGTCTTTTAAAGGATGGACATTGCCCAACACCACACTACAGAAATTGTATACAACAGGAAACACGTGAGCAATGCTTCTCAGAAACTATGTTTATGTTACTGTTGATTAGCTTATATTCTAGAAAAGTAAAACTAAAAGCTTTTGGTTTCTCAGGAACTGGTAATTTTTTGCAAGCTAAGGGTAGGATTTCTTAAATCTTTACAAGTTCAAATACTTGCCCAAGTGTAGGAATGTTGACTTTACAAGACAGATGAATACAGAATTTCACATTTCAGGCTCTTATGCAAGATGCTCCCCCCCTCTTTTAGCCGTGCAGATGCAGTGCAAACAGAAAGGACCAATTCACCCCCTGCATTACATGCAGTGCTCTCACGAGTCGATGGAGGACATGCCCACCAAGAGCAGAGTTTCACAAGGAACATTTTGTGTATTGCTTTATGACTGGATGAAAGAATATTTTCCTTCTAAAGGCTGGTGACAGAACGCAGAAAGACTGCCCTGCCAAACCTTTTAGAGAGGAAGAGTTCTGCCTGCCAGGGAGAAACTCCTTGCTTCAGGAGCTCTTCTTTCTAGACTTTAAATAAACACAAGTTTCCTTGAAACCAAGCTCTCCATTTGCAAGTTAAACACCAAAGTGGGGATGGGGAGCCCAAAACCACTGAAGTCTTCAGGACCGAGTCCTCTCGATACTGAAAGTCCTTTCACAACTTGCTGTTTTTAAACTGCTTTCTGAACACTGCACTCACTGCTCAGCCCCATCTGTTGGAAGTGACGGGGAATGTATTCACTGTGCTTCAGGAAGTAAAAATCAAACATATTTAACTGCTAAATTATACTGGTGAAACAGGGATACCAAGAGAAGAAAAAAAAGAAAAAAGTGAGGCCACATGAAGTTAAGGAAGGATTCATAACATATGAATGATGGTCAATTAAACTGGGGGAGGGGGAGAGCTGAGGTGAAGGGACAAAATACTGCAGCATGACAACCCAGAGAAAGACAATGCAAGTTGCATGTTGCAGATTTCCCTCACTAATTAATCTTAAAAGAAACACAAATAGGCCTGGCTTCCACCATAGCTTCAGTGTATGTGAGCTATGACACACTGCTTATTACTCTCAGTTACCAGTGAGTAAACAGAAATAACAAAGCCACTTTTTGTTACATCAAGTTACGATGAAAAAAAATATTAAGTCAGGTCATGAGGTGGTTGCACTCTAAACTGACAGATTCCAGTAAAAAAGTAAAGGACAAGGTGCCCCTGCCAAGCAAAGCATAAACATTACATGCATTTGGGGGAAAAAAAAAGGTCCTTGCAGTAAATCCAAGAACTAGACAAGAACTGAAGGAATGCCAGATTTTCTCAGAGCAGAGGAAAATGACATAATAAATTCCTCATTTTATATGATGGAAACTCAATGTACTTTGACAAAAAACGTGGTCAGTTGTATGAAGATTCTGAAAAAAAAAATAATCACATGAAAAATAAGGCACCCTCTCCTGCCCCCTTGGAACATATATTTTTATTTTAAATTAAATTAGTATTATCAAAAGTCTAAAAATTTGGAAACATCTTCACATTACTCCAGCAGAAGTTGTGAGCTCCTTCATCCCACTGTTATTCTAAGCATACATTTGCTTTAGTGCAATTAAAAGACACAGATCTATGTTAGAATAGCAATGTTTAGGCGAAAGGAAGAGTAACATCATTGCTATTATTTAACAACTATGTTAAATAATGGTCTGTGGTTACAACTGAAACTGTTTCAGGCATTCATCTTGACACCTATGACAAATGAGGCCGAAACACTTGTCAGCCTCTCCTTAGTGCTGTGCTGGTCCATCATTAAAATAACACAAAGTAGTGGGTACAGGAAGAGAAACCAAGATGATGCACTTGCTTACACAACAAGCTGCAACTATTGGAATATGCTGCATTAAGTTTAATATTCCTTACTTTGTCTTAAACACCCAAAGAGGAGCCAAATAAAATTAAAAATACCTTGCTATGGTCAAAATTGGAACCCAGCCTCAGTACCAAGGCCAGGTCCTGAGCAAATTAACCCAGTTCTGTCATCTTGTTTTGCCTGTAATTTGATGTAGGGCCATATATGATTTCCTGTGAAACCACAAACTACATCCTTTGTTTCCTTTGCAATTATGTTACCAGAAAAGTTGAATGTTGCTGAGTTATTCTGAGATTCTCTGCAAGGAGGATGAGCACAGTTATTTGGCCCAGGGTTGTTGAGAAGACCATGGAGACGTTCCCAGTGCCAGAACTGAAATCTCATGTTCAGCCCAGCAAAAGGCCTGATGGGATTAGAAGGTGGCACTGTAGGCTCCCACAAAACACCTCAAAACGAGAATATTTCTTAACCTGGAAGCTACAGGGTGGAGTGATAACAACAAACTTTCTCAGATGCTCAAGTGGCCACAATGTACCATTTTTCTTATGATTGTTCTGTTCATATTTAACAAACTATTTTTAAGCTTCAAAATTATATTAACTCTTGACTTGCTTCAGAGACTTCCACCAATTTTGCCCATCAGTTCATTCCTACGTGGTGTAGGTCCAGCTCAGAGGTCACAACATAAACAGAGTCTGACCAGCCAACTTTTCCCTTCCTGTGAGTGTACCTGTAACACACAAGAAAATATCTTCCCTGGGTGAATTCCTGTAGTGGAATCTCTCAGAAAATAACCTTTTCTAGAAAGGAACAAACTCTGTCTTTAAAAGGGGACAAAGAATACTGCTGAATCAAAACATAACTCCATGGTTTTCTATAAGTGAAATTATAATTATATAAGATTATATACACATTTAATCAAAGTCACTTTGATAAGTCAACTTTTCTAATTAAAACCAGTATTAGAATTCCAATTTTGAGGAGAGATTAGAAATATCAGAAATGTGAAGTAATGTCAGAGGTAACAACCATAAATTAACTGTCAAATAGTATTAAGACACTGACTTATCTATAATGAGCACTGCTTAAAAACATTAATGCATCTTTATGAACTTTTACCAATTTAAAGTTACTTTCACTTTAAGAGTTAACACCACTAGAATCCCTTTATGGAAAAGGCGTTATGTACAACTAAGTAAATCACTTCTTACTGGTATGACTGTATAGAAGTTTCTATAAGGAGAACTCCACCATCCTGTCTTTGCCTATTTTCTGCATCAATCAGTATAAGGTGCATAGAAATTTTCTTTCAGAAATTGAGTTAATTATGCCTTTGGATGGTCTGTAAAATGTACATATCCATTACATTCAGTTTTTCAGAAGTACATATTATGTTCCTATAAAAGCTTTTTGGCTTAAAAAAAAAAAAAAGGAGCCTCCAAACATTTATACAGTAGCATTATATAATCATTATATCAACATATCACAGAGTCATTACAGCTAACAGTCTATTGATATTACTCTTAAAATTCCCTATTTTCAGGAATTTATAATACAGCTGTAAAAAATGTTCCTTGCTAAAAATTTTATCAATAGGTTTATAATGCACCAGTAATTGTTTTCTCCAAGTTGAGCATGCAGAAAAGCATTTTTTTGCAGTTTTATGCCACAGCTACATCTAAGAAATGACAGTTATTAATGTATAAATATGTTTTAATATAAAAGCAGTTTGTTCATAACTGTTCTTAAACACTCACATTCATTTTATATGGGCTGCTCAATACAGACTGCAGTTATGAAAGGCTTTATTTCAGAACAGAAAGGAAGAGAAACTAAAACAAAGGAAGGAATGTGGCTCGTGCCTCATATTGTGATTATCTGTGCATTTTCCTCAGTGAGCCCCCACTGGCAGCTGAGTTCAAATTGTCCAAAATTCCCCGCCTTGCAACAGGACAGTGAAGCTTTTTGTGGCTGTAGCTGCTGCCCACACACTGGAGTTGCCCTGTGCACTGCCTTGGCCTTTTTTGGCAAGATGCTGAGGAAAAGCAGCTCCACCTAATCCCAGAGCCAATTCCTTCCTCACCCAAACAGCCAACTCCCATATATTCCACAGGCGACATCAGTGCACTGGATCCTGGCTGTCGTGTGCAAGGCTGAGCTGCAGCAAAAGCCCTGGCTGCATCAAGAGAGGAAAAGGGGGGAGTGGTAGGAGCAGAAACTACACCAGAAATAAAAAGGTGATTTCTCTGGCTAAAAATGTTATTCAAGTTAGCTTGAAATTAGGATAAGGTAAAACCCACCAAAAAAATGACTGCATTTATTGTGAGCAACTGGTTCATACCCCTGACTGCACATAATATATATAATGCACAAATTAGACATTAAAATTGTACTTTAAAAACTGTTTCACCGTCCTTTTCCATTTCAGTTTCCAACTCCTTTGAACAGGAAAGCAGAAGGAAGGATGACTTCTCACAACATGACATGGATCAGCTACCCAAGCAAGAACCCGGTTTTCACCACCCCAGAAGAAATCCAAGACATCATAGCTTCTCAAAACATCATATCCAGACTTATGCACTGCTACATCGCCCTTTTTGTGCCCACAGGATTAGTAGCTGGCATATGTATTTTGATTGTTTTCATAAAGAATTATGTGCAGCACAAAGTCATGGAAAACTTGGACTTGTTTCTTCTGCTCTTCACCATCAGCACTATTATAATGATTTCTTTATCGTTCACTGTCATTACTAGACCCGACTATTTAACAGCAACCCACCTCACCTGTAACGTACTGTCATTTTTTTTCAACTTCAGTTACTTCAGTTCTCAGTATGTTTTCATTTTGACGCTTCTCACACTGTTACTCAAGAGGTTTCCACCACGGACTGCTCTGTGCAAAGCCACCCAAAGACCCATCCTGTGCGCTGGAATTGTGCTCACATACACCTTCTGTTTGTCCCTGACTGAGGCAGTGCTGGTCGGCACTGACAACTATCACCTGGAAACAGACTGCCAGTTAGATCCACTGTTTGCACGGCCTGAATACGAGATCATTAAATTCACATTTGGGTTTGGAATCCCCTTGTTTCTTCAGACACTCTGTTTTACTGTTCTCGTGGCTAAAGCAGCACCTGCTGAAGCTCCAGCCCTACAGCAGCACATCCGCACTTACCCCGCCGTGTACCTGATCAGCGTAACAATGTCCATGTGCCGCCTGTTTTACAACCTCATGCTTCTCTTCAGGACATCACTGAAATTACAGAAGAGCATGGGAACCACGAAGAACGAGCTTGTGATGAATATTGCAGAAATAGTGCTGTTCTGTGAGAGCTGTGCTAGCTTGGTATTTATACTTTGTTTTCACAAGCCATGCAAGGATGAAATACTCAAAGTCATACAGAACTGCCGAAGGAAAACCAGTGCCAACAATCACCTTGAAATACCAGAAGCAAATGCGCCCCATGAGAGCGAGTGTCAGTAATACTGTTCTGAACAGCTGTCAATCCACTTTACTTTTCAGTTTGTTTGTGGGTTTTGGTTTGGTTTTTCACTTCTTTAAAAAAGGGTGATTGTTCCTTCTTTAGAACCCAAACTTGGCCTATCTTACAGCTAGCAGTACTGGAAAAAGAAGAGATCTTTAATTCTAGTATTTATAGTGATCTTTGAGAGAATACGTAGGGTCTGGGGTTGTTTGGGTTTTTTTTTAATGTATATATACACATATATATTAAAGTGGTCTATTTTCTGCAAACGTTACTTCAAAGCCAAGTAGGAAGATGGGTACTGCTGCCATAGAGCTGTGCTTCTGCAATAATATCAACGCCCAAGCAGAACTGCAAGCAAAAACTTGGCAGAAAGCAACTCTGAACAAAAGCAAAAATCCTCAGCCAAAGCATTCTCTCAGGTATGCTTCCTCTTTTGACTTCTTACCCTACAAACTATGTTTGTAACACTGGTAAATCCAAGGAGCAGCAGCAGTGAAGTTTTTGTCTGACTTCTTGTGCCACAAAAAATTCAAATTAATGGAAACACTGGTCCATAAAGGAAAGCTTCAAGTCCTTTGTGAGGTACTGAACTGGAAAGATCAACAGGATGGCTAATTAAAGCTCTGTACAAGAATGAAAGCTTTTTGTTAATGTCCTCTCAGCTTCCACTCTGCATTTAGACTTAGGGAAATTACTGATTTAAACCATTCCTGATGAGTTCATTCAGAAGTGTGAAGTCGCATGCGTTGGAAGAGTCACATTCAAAAACACACTAAATAAAAACCAGAGAAATGCCAGTCCAGAACAGTGTAACTGAGGTGTGTTTTTAAGAGGGCAAAAAAAAAAAAGCAGAGCCCCAGTTCCTAAATGAAATCAAAGCTCTGCTGGAGAAAAGACAGAAGCGTTGTATGTGTAGATGAGAGTGGATGTGTCGATGGTGCAAGAAGGGGAAAGAATCTGAATCAGAATTAAACAGCTGTGGTACAGGAGGTGAGATGTGGTCCTGCAGAATTAGTAGCTGATGCAGCTGAGATGTAGGTGCAAAGCTCACTTTGAGCATATTGTTATGTCACCAAATCTGGCCAGGAGCCACCTTACATATTTGGCTTTGGTTTCAGCTTTTCCTCTCATAGAGGTGGAGAGAACGGAAACAGGAAAAGCACAAAATTGTATTAGATCTTGGATAATGACGTCAGCTTAGATCACAGAGTTATAAAAATACAGTCCTGTGATGTGCATGGCTCAAGCAACCTGGAGAGTTTTGAGAAAACTCATTTTTATGCTTAAATCCGTTCCTTTGCATGACACTTGGATGCTAAGGGAACTGACAGGTTTTTTTGCAGTTTTGAAAGGTCTTTGAAAGGTCTTCCTGAGGGGGTCCAGATTTGCGTGGGGAGCTGGTGCAGATCAGCACGAGCTGCCTAAGAGAGAAAAGCAGGAACTGATCGACTGAACATCTTCCACAAAACTACAGCCAAATGCAGAAATGGAAGAATAAAGGACATTTGTTCAATAATAATACAGAATATAGATTTAGTATCTAGAGATACAGATCTAGTCTTAGTCATCCAAGTCCTGAAATGTATAGACCATGACTATATCACATGCAAATAAAGGGCAACATGAAGTTTCACTGTGTCTGTAAGGACCAACATTTCTGCAAGATGTAAAAGTCAACTGGTAAGATGTCTGCATTACGTTGTGTCAGTCTGTTTTCCTGTTCAATTTTGTTCTGCTGCCAGCATGAACAGATGGATAATTAAAAAACTCTACATATAAACAGATCATTATAGAACATGGTCAGAAAGGAAGTACGTAGATAAGAATCATCTCTTGGAATACAAGAGCCAATTCCATACTTGTGAAAGGAATTCTCTGGTGGCATCAGAGGTTTTCCTTTGCACCTGAGAAGAGGGAAATTAAACAACATGGACCAAAGATCAGCCCTGCAGAAAGAAGTTTGAAGAGATGAGTTGTAAGAGTTGTAAATCAGTGGAAAAGCTGAACAGACTGAGTGAAGGAGCATGTCAGGAGATGCAAGCTGTTTATCCCTCAGAGTGTCATAGTTTCAGTTGTGCCGTGGATCAGAGGTCTATTTTCTAGCATTGGAATTATGGACAAATAATTCTACTTTACTTACAGCTTCTATATCTTTTATATTTGAAGATGAAAGAATAAATACTGTATTGTTTCTGAGTCCTGAGTTACTGTGAAAGGTGCTTAAAAGAAAACCCGTACTTAAAACCTGTTACTTAAAAGTAACTGGCTGGGCCCCGGAAAGTGGTCTAATGGTGAGTGAATCGCAGTAACACACCTGGAAGGAGCCAGAAGGCTGAGCATGGGTGGAAAATCAAGCACGGAGAGCGGGATGCTTCATGATACTCTCAGCAAGGTACACAGCTAGAGCAGAACCATAACCAAAGGTCTCAGAGAGAAATAAAAACTGTAGGGACCTACTGTCAGATCTAGGATTTGAGAGCGAGTACGTCCTGTCAGAGTGAACTACCGTGTGTAAGTCTGTGAGTGCTCCTGGGTAAAGCTCCTGGCTGCCATCTGTGAGATTCAAGTTCATGTACTCTGGCCTCTTCCCTGTCCTTGACCACTGTCGTGTAAAAAATCAGAGTATTTTCTGGATGGCTGGTTATATTGACATAGAGAAATCTCTATGTACAATCAAAAGACTTTGAACTGAATATGAGAAAACAAAGGTAAACAGGAGGGAAGGGGTTGAAAAATGCAGAACAATAACTCAAATAGTTATGAATATAACTTATAGCAATAAGGAAATGTTTTCATAGAAACATTCTTGATAAAGCTACTCAGAGCTTATATTAAAGTTTACGACAATGAACATATAGTCCTAGAGAAAATCTCACATTCAGCTGGAATATAAGAGCAAACAGTCCTGGTCTAAAATAGTTTCATATGAGGGAGAAAAGAGCAGCTGTGGCAAAGATTAAAAGAAATAATTTTTTAAAAATTAATAAATCTAAGAGTATTTTTAAGAACAAAACAAAATCTCCTTGCTCTGAGAGATCTTTTTTCCCTTATGCTAGCAACAGCTTTGTTGAACTCTCACTTCTTCCAGGCTTCACCTAGATTTGAACAGTATGTTCCAGAGGAAATAGAGCATATATTTTTATAGGCAGACTGTCAAAATTAATGCAGGGATATACTGGAAAAATTCAAAGCAGAATCTTTTACTTCTGTACTGGTAATAATTGTATCTTTCCAAAACTTTGGTCTGCATTTGAAAAAAACCCTTCAGGGGTTTGGGTAATGGACGCTGATGTCATTCAGTGGTTGAAAAAGATGAGAGGGAATTTGGGCATCAGTGTACTTGCAAAACGTCATAAAGAGTATAACAGCATCTGTATTTCCCCTGGAGATAGTAGATATTCTTAAACAAATCTTGTTTCTTCTGCAGATGGTTATATTACACTGCAAATATTCCAATGTGATTTCAATTTATACTTCCTTCCATTCCCGTGCAATACAGTACCTTATTTTTTTCAGCTTTAGACTCCCTAGCCCTGATCTCATTTCTCCAGGAGTCGACAGCTTCAGACCCAAAGCACTTCCACACTTCTGACAGAATCCAACAGCTCTTGCATCCTACAGGGCTTATCCTGCTTATCCAGCTGGAAAGGCTGCCATGCAGTGCTGTGATGCACCAGACCTCTTGACGTTGTTCTCTCCCACACTCACACCTCCCACTTTCTTCCTCCTCAGCTGCCACCTTTTAGCAGCACAATAGCAGGCACATATGTTGAAGTCTGCTAAATTACACAGAGTATCTTCTAATATACCCCACATTCTGCCTCCTGGTGCTAGTAAGTACATCACAGACAATTACACTACTGCTCCTGAAAGACTCTGGGGTGTTAGACATGTTTATTGAGATATAGACAGTGTTTTACAAGTTGACTACTATTGGAATTTAAAAATAAACTGCTAGGAGGATTCTGAATGCTGGATTATTGAAGTCTGACATAATAAAAATGCTACTGCCCCCGTTGCTTTCATGCATGTTCTCAGGAACAATCACAGTAAGGTACAACAGGTGGAACTTTGAGACTCAATACTGTCACAGCTGTGACTATGGCTCATCAAGGCACTCGCTATAAAGTCCCATGGAATAGCTGCAACCGATAGGGAAAGAGCAGGGGTACAGTGTTCAGCAGCTGCTAAAATTAGTGGGATTAAGATAGATTAATCAGTGAAATTAAGATAGATTAATCACTAACAATAATTTGACTGCATAAACAAGAGCCTGACAATGCTGTCATTGTTTTAGGAAACAGGATTCAGAGGATTCACATGATCATCTCATAAAATACTTATTGAAACAGAGAACTCAATAGTTACAATATAATAATGCAATATACATAATACTAGATTCTGCCTTTTATGCTTCATAGTTCCACTAGCACAGAAAACAACTTCTTCATGAGCCTTTTGAAAGAGAATTTCCTAACAATTCTGGAAGTATGGCAAAGTAACATATTTCTTACCATGACTTCAAACAAGAAAATTAGCACTCAGAACTATACATTTTCATAACAAATCAGCTGATATTCAAAGCTAGAAAAGCAAGGACAGACAGACCAGCTGACTACCAAATCCAGGCCCCCATAATTACAACCAACCAATACCCAGAAGCGAGTATTACACGTTAAGTAAAGTAAAAAATCCTTCTGGCCCTTACAAGATCAGTGGAAGCTCTGAAGGACAGAACTAAGTACAGCAAACCCACATGATCAACAAACAACAATAAAGACTCTTTTTAATCCTGTTCTTTTATGGCAGCAAAAAATTAAGACCTTCAAAGCTGGTATCACAAGATTTTTACATTACAATTATTCCAGTCCCATAACACCATCATATTTGTACACTTCTCAAAGCAAAACACTTTAGTCTCTGTCCTCATCACCCAGTAGAAAAAACACTCAACAAAGCCATTCCACACATAGTGGAAATCTTCTGTTCAGAAAATTTTTACCAGCACCAATTCGCGCAAACATTCTTTTGATCTAAATCATAATTGATTCCCAAACTATTTATGAGGAGCCATCGTGCAAGAACATCTTAAAAAACTTCTTAAGTAACACTGCCAAAATCCTCTGCTCCTATACACAGTGTGTTACAAAAAAAATCAGCAAATAATAGATTTGCCTCAATGAAGGCAAAGTGGTTCTACTCCCAAAGCCATTCGTTTAAAGAACTTTTGCTTCACTTTTCTACAGATGAGATCTTTTGTAATCTAAAAGTATTTGACCACTGTAACTGGTGTCATACATGGATTATAATGACATGGTAATTGCTTACTCCACACTTCTGAAACTGCCACATTATCTTCTTGAAGTCCTAAACCATTCATCTTATTCCAATAGGAGCAGATGCTGCCTCGATAAACAGCACAACCACTGATGGCACTTGACATTCAGGTATGAGATCAATATAATCATAGAAAACAAATGCCACAAATAAAATATTTCTCTTTTATGAGAAAGGTTTAGCTTTCTTTCCATTCTGAGAATCCTGGCCACCAGTAGGTGGTGTTGCTGGAAATGGCAAGTGGGGTTTTTTCCCCCCTACAGATGAAATGCAAAACTCCACCTGCAGCACTGGTGGTTTTACGCAAAACTGAGGCTCTGCACTCTCTGTAAAAGAAGTATTTTATCCATGTGATTCTGAGCTGAGCGATTCCAAGAAGTAAGAGGATGACAATATATACCTGAAAATTTAAATGCAAACAGGCAAAATGGGATCAGCTTGAAGGTAGGAAAACTGAAATTTATCTTGGCAGTTTAGCAAACAACCCTTATGAGCTGGTTGAGGTCTCTCAATCAAATATTCCCCTCTAAATTGTCCAGAGGCTTTTAAAAAGCACCATGTATAACAGCAATTATCGGTTTATATCTATATAAAATGTGCTTCATTAAAATTTGCAACTAAATCTTTTAATTATTGATCAAAACCTCTTAATTATTGATCAGCTGAGCTATAGCTTTGAATGGACTGTATAACTGTGAAAAACACCAGAGGCAGAAAGAAGGGTGCAACGAACGTTAGGCAAAATAAAACTGACAAATATGAGAGAAAAGACACTGGAGTAGTTGTAGTAAAAAAGAAACCAGCAGAAACAGGGTTAATTCCAGCCTTATAAGGCTGTTCAGCAGCACTTCAACTGCACACAAATTAGAAGAACCCTGGGAATCTATAAAGCTTGTTTTATTGGCAAGGACATGCAGCAAGATCTGCATTTTGCTGTTGTAAACGCTCCTTTATTTAAGATGTTCTAAAGCAGGATAGACTTTTATATGATTTTCTTTTTTAATGCTGAATCATCAACAGGTGGCATCCACTGCGGCTCTGTACACCTAAAGGCAAGTTTTTTAGGGAGAGAACAGTGGAAGTTGGAACATCCTTGATGTGTGTACCCAGCAAGGACCAGCCTGCTGCTGTCTGGAGGAAAATCAGCTCTGAAGAAATGGAATTAAGGTAAAATAAAGTGTTTTACGTACACAGTTACCTGTAATGCTTGTAATTACTCAGCTTTTGGCAGCCTTTCAGATGTAATTAAAATCTGACCACAGACCGACCTTTTAAAATCAATTTCTTAGGCTGCTAACTTATCTTTTATTGTATTTAAAGCAGTTTTACTGCCTTGTTCAAAAATTTAAAGGACCTTATGTAAAGGACAAGAGTTTATGTCTGACTTCCACAGCTGCTTGAAACAAGCAGCGAACCTTCTTCTAGTAAGTGTAATGTCATATGGATATTTAAGCATAAAGATTTACACTGTTAAAACGATTCAAAACACAGCAGCAGGTACTGGGTACTTATGTCTGTTTCACTGAGAAATAAAAGCTCTGGAACCTATATTCTTTATTTAAATATCTGTAGCTACTTCTGGTAATTTGAATACATTTAAGCAAACTCAGAGCTGTATTTCCGACTGAAAATATTCTAACGCTCCTACTCCATTAGTGGTCTGCTCCTTTTTTCTCCCCCAGACTGTAGATTGGCAGAATTTAAGTAATTAAAATGTGGAAATACGCATGAATTTTACTAGCAAACAATTTTTTTACTATGCTTTACTGTAAATAAAATCAAGGGTTTGAGAGGAAGACAAAGATTAAAGCAGTTCAAAATATTTAAAACTTAGCACAAAATACCCTCTTTTTAAATTT